TGCCATTCAAAGACTCAGCAAGACAGATGGTACTTGGCAGTCTTACACATTTCAAAGTCTGACATACGAAGTAGCCATTTTCACCTTCCAATCCCCATCTTTAAAGTACAAGTCCCACAAACATAGTTCAACTAGAAAAAGAAAAACACCAACCTAAGAATATCCTATTTAAAAGAGCTTAAGTCAGTTTCCTTTCAAACACTTGCCTCAAATGAGCACGTTCAAAAGGTCAATTACTGCAGTATCAGAGCTATAACAGGCTCTGTTACTAAAACAGCCGCATTTCTGTAACACCCATTTGAAAGCAGAGCGATTACAGTAACATTAGCAGCAGCAGGCTCGGTTCAGGTCTCCCACAATGAACACAGCGACCTGTAACCCGACCTGACAGAGGTCCATCTAACTGTGAGTATCTTGTACCACCAATCTACACCCATGCCTCCGTCTTCACCAGGTGGTCAAATTAGCCTTCCGCTAAGCCACACGTCCCCCCAGAACATACAGTCAAGATACACTCCACTCTTGGAGGGCTGTTAGTTAGTTTCGAGCATCTCAGCTCTATCGGCAGTGGGTTTGCTCTATCGCTGAACTACCAGAAATTTGTCTTCATCCCTGTTCTCTGTATTGGTATAGCCTTGTGTTATCTATGTGTAATTTACTACTGCCAGCTCAATTGGATCTTTGGCATCATTTTCAGTTAGCGCCATGGCATAGAAATAATGGCTTTGAATGCTATAGATTCTTGTTTCTGTTATTTTTTGGTGAATTACATCAGGAATAACAGAAACAAAATTAATTTTGGTATCGTATTGTTGTCAATTCAAGGACACAATTTCCTTAGAAACATGTCAAGAATCTATGTTATTAAAGATGTATTACATAAAGGCTATTTTATACATAACAATGACTTTTGTAAGACCACACTTGCTATCATACTGCATTAGTATGCATCCTATTACATGTCCTTCAACTAGCTTTATATTGACTTTGGATGGTTTGAAAGCATTAAAATTTATTAGTCATGTTGTACATGGTATTTTCGGATCTATTCATATTTAATCTACTCTGCAACATTTCCGTATTTGCCAATGGAATGTAATACATAGAAAACGCATCGATGCTTTTTCCAAACCATCAATATTCCGAGATCATTAACTTATTGAATACATTTTAATAAAGGTGACTAAAGGTGTTTTGCTGGGTGTAGAATCTCCATGATGAATGGGGTTGGCAAGAGTTTTATTGATTAACGCCCCCATGGAAATCCGGGTTAGAATTGGTCTTCAGTAACCCATGCTTGTCATAAGAGGCAATTAACAGGATCATGTGGTCAGGCTTGCTGACTTGGTTGATGGATGTCATAATATCCTAATTAACAGGAGTCATGAGTGAGTGAGGAGTGAGTGAGTGAGTGAGTTGATGGATGAGTCAGTCAGTGAGTGGTGAGTGAGTGGTGAGTGAGTGAGAGTGAGTGAGTGAGTGAGTGAGTGAGTGAGTGAGTGAGTGAGTGAGTGAGTGAGTGAGTGAGTGAGTGAGTGAGTGAGTGAGTGAGTGAGTGAGTGAGTGAGTGAGTGAGTGAGTGAGTGAGTGAGTGAGTGAGTGAGTGAGTGAGTGAGTGAGTGAGTGAGTGAGTGAGTGAGTGATATTCCAGCAATATCATGACACCAGAAATGGGCGTCACATATTGTGCCCACGTGGGAATCGAACTCAGGCTTGGGCGTGATGAGCAAACGCTACAACCACTAGGCTACCCTACCACCCCATCATATCCCAATTTCCTGACGTCAATCACTGTATTTTCTGGTCTTGACACAATCATGTACAACCTGTCATCATACACCTGTAAAAAATTCCTGAGTGCAGTGTAAAACAAACAAACTGATATACAAAATCTTTCAATGTTAAAGGAGCCGCCATATAGCTGGAATATTGCTGAGAGTGGCGTAAAGCTAAACTAAACTTACTCAATGTTAAAGGATTATATTTAGCAGCAATGAAGTTGATGTCCTATGGAATAAAAAACCCTTAAAACATGCCTATCATAAATGAATAACATGAAACCTTTCAGAAAGTGGTCAAATGTAACATATGTTGTATTTGGGATTACACTTTATTAACACTAGACTTTGTACTTTGTATATAGAAAGTGTAAGAGCAAAAGGTACTAGGTATTCACCTCATTCAAGTTTTTCAGGGGGTTTCTTTTAACACCAGTACTAAAACTGGTACTGTGCTAAGAAAGTGTTATCCCAAATATATATATACGACATGTTACAGGGTGGGCGAGCTGGCTAAGGCGCCAGGCTACTGATCCAGCGAGGTTGAGGTGTCGGGATCAAGCCCACCTGTGACCGGGTGTAAAAACCTTGGAGTCAACTTTGTGCGCAGACTCTTTCGGTGTTGTCACAACCCCTAGTGTACAGTACACAACCCTGTGCACTTAAAAGAACTCACGAATCTGTTGGTATATGACCAGATGGTGGCCACATGAATACATGCAAGTGAAGTTGGACAAAGTACTGTGACTATGTGTCCCAGTCCACCCAGCTGTGAATGGGTACCTCGTTAGGATGAGAAAGCCACAATAACTCGGTGTGCCTAGTGGCAGCAAGAGTTGTATACTCCCCAGGGAGTTGAGACTGATAATACGATGTGCCGTTGAGATTGACATCCAATGATCGAGGGAAAACAAATATCAGTGCCTTGAGCATGCACTAGTTGCGTGGATATGTGCGCTATATAAATATCCTACAATAATAAGAATAATAACAATAATAATACATGAATAAAATAAAAAATACCATCACTGCAGTTCGCGGCAATGTTTTGAGGGTCTTGAAACAGTCATGCTCCAGATTATGTCAGTCATGTAATTGTGTGCATATGTGTGTATGTATCTGCTTGTAACAGTCAAGACTTACACTGGTTTTATAGTGCTAGCCCACTGAGATACCATGTGCATCCCGCATGGATGCCCCACTCAGACACAGTGTACTGACTCCAAGCCAACCAGTTCTTGTTTAATTACCATAATGCTGATTGCCCAGCTGGGAAACAAGTGGCGTCTTTTAATGTCCTATGTTATGGTATTGCCAGGGCTTCGAACACGACCCTGTGCTCTCTCGGCAGACGCCCTATCCAGGAGACCAGGGACACAGGGATGGTTTACGAGGGGATGGTGGTTGGGGGTGCTTGTTTAAGACGAGATATCAAGTACTTGATGGTTTACGAGGTGCCGGTTGTTGTAATGGTTTATGAAGTGGGAAGACGTGGGGTAGAGCCATGGTGGCCAAGTCATCTAATCCGCTACAACTCACAATGTAGAGTTGCATCTGTTTGACATGCCTGAATCATATTATAGTGGGTTCCGGTGCAAGATTTGATCAGCAACATGTTGGATTTAAAACAAAATGATCACTGGTTTAGGACAACATCACTATTTTCTCAAAGACTACATTTTGGGTGGGTGGTTGAGTGGTTGAGTGAGTGAGTGAGTAAAGGCAGAACTAGAGATGGTAGTGGTGGTTCGGTAGAAGAGGAGATAGTAGAGGTGGTGATGGTAGAAGTGGTGATGGTAGAAGTGGAAATGGTAGTGATGGTGATGGTAGAAGTGGTAGTGGTGGTGATGGTAGAAATGGTAGTGATTGTTCAGTAGAAGTGGGGATAGTGGTGGTGGTGATGGTAGAAGTGGAAATGGTAGTGATGGTCATGGTAGAAGTGGAGAACGTAGTAGTGATGATGGTAGAAATTGTGGTGGTAGCAGTGATGGTAAATGTATATATGGTAGTAGAAATGGTAGTAGTGATGGTGGATGTATAGATGATAGTGGTGGTGGGTGATTGGTATTACGAAAGGTGATGATTTTCATACACTAGAGGTTGAACCTATGCTGGCACGAGTATATATTTCCACTGTTGATGCCAACTACATTGGTTCAAGTGAGGGTTCCAGTAATTTCCCATAGGACATCTAACATGAAGATGTGAAATCATACCATAAATAACAAGAGATAAACTTGCTAGAATTGCACACCATTATTTATAGAACATACAATAAGCTCTTTTTTGCAAAGTACAAAATGCATACTCTCATGAAAATGTACCAAGCTTAAAATTCACATTATTCATAATTTTGGAAAAATCTGAAAACATGAAAATTGATATCTCCTTCAGAAAACTGTACTATAAACATGAATTATATTAACAGCCAGGAGATCTGTTTCCATTCTGATGTTGAAACTTTAAATGTTTCTCCATGACAACCAAAATTCTCTTGATGCTAACTAATTTGAGTACCTTCATCATGGACTCAAGAACACATTCCTAAAGTAGTACAGTACTTCTAAACAAATCTATCATGAATTATATTTCTCTGATAAGACCTCTTTTACTTAACATAAAACTGACATAACAAAACCTTCGACCCACTATATCCAGCTGTATCCATTGTATATAATATTATCACTCAGTCATATGCAACACTAAGACATGCTTGATTTGTAGTGAAAATATCTTCACACTGGATCAGTTTTATGGTATTAAAATTCCTCTAAATGTCTTAATTTCTGTATAAAAACATCAGCATGCTATAGCCCATGTTCAATCAACATTTACTTTCAAATAAGAAAGCAATCAATAACTACAGTTTCAAGATATCCATGCCCAAATCCAATAGTCAACCTACAAAATGCAATCATAAACATCATCTGTTATCTCTAGGATATTACACCCATCAACAAGACACTGGTATCCTACATAGTTTTAAGACCATACATTCTCGGGCAAAACCACTTTCACTTTCCGTCCACACCTGTTAAGGATACTGAACTGGACTAAACCAACACGATCACCACTAGGCAGCAGCAATCTCTCCCACTACAACATCCAGCCTCTCCACACCAACTGCCAGCATCCTCGGAAACCGTACAGAACACCCCCAGTGGCACAAGCCACGTGCAGTAATTATCAATAGTACCAGACATTGTCAATAACCATAGAGGCAGCCAAAGACTCCACCAGCAACTCCAGAGCTCTGCCTGCTGGTATTGTCTTCCTTCCTCACTCGACTTGTTGATCGAGGGGGAGTGATCGCAGTGGTATCAGGGCCACTGATTGGCAGCAAGTCGCCAGGCCGTGTTTATCACAGTGTAATCCGTGAAACTCTCAAACCAAACTGACGTGCACACACCATCAAACCGTGTACTGGAGACCAGACCTGTGGTGTAAATTGTACAGGAAGGTACCACCGTCTACCTTGGAGTTTGTAGGCTAACAAAACGGACAAGGTGTCCTTATGTCAACTGGGTGTCTTTATGTTCGCCATTGTTGGGAGTTTGGAAACTTTGACATGATGAGTGTTTGGATGTGGAATTACACGACCGACCAGAGTGGAAACTTTGCAGTAGGTATTTCAATTGTGTTACCTTCAAACCATTGCCTCACACCTGTCATTTATTTCAACCACATCTACAGGACACTTGTTTTTTTAGGTACATTATTTTGTTCACCTAAGAAACATTCAACTTTTTTTCTCATCCTATTATAATATGTTACTTATTTATGCATCAATTACTTAAAAGATTCACTCATATATTTCTATTTCTATTAAATTAATATTTTATGTTACATTTGATAATAATATGGTTACATGACTAACACTTGATCTAATTAGCACAAAACGAGGTGGTACTTTAATGAATGTAATAGATGTCAATTTTATCAATCTTATCACTTTCAATGACATCTTAGACATCATTAGATATTATAATATCCTGCAATATGCTTTAACAGTAATATAAAACACTGCATTTAAATCATTATCAAGTTGAGTTTGAGCATATTAAGGGTTGATTATCAATTTATCAAGCTTATAAACTACTTTCATTCAACATAATTCTCATAACATAGGTTCTATTCTAAGAAACAGTAGTTTTTAGTGGTGTCATATATTCATGATCATTGATATTCATGAAAACTAATTTACTGAGGTTGCACATTCATAGATGATATTCTGTGCACTGAGTCTCAAACTGACGAATGTAGCACAGAATAGCACTGCAAATCAATTGCTTGACTGAGCCCCAAACGATGTCAATTTCAGTCTCAGGGACGTACATATCAGGGCATGTCATGAACAATCTGTCAATTTCCATTAATGATTGACAAGTATGTCCTGGGTTTGCCTCTCAACTCAGATTAACAGAGACAAAGTGCAAGTCAATTTCATTAAACATGTCTATTAGCAGGCAAATGATGTTATTGGAGGAACATGTCTTGCTCTTGAAAATTGTAAATTTCATTAATTGATTGCAAAGGTTTAGTCACAGATGGTGGGAAGCCAAAGAAATGTATGGTACTGTCAAGATCTGAACATGCTAATCACTATTAAGAAGCCTTGAAATGTACACTGAAATCTACAAACAATAAACATGTCTTCTCAATGATGAGAATCATGTCAAACATAAATCAATAAAGACTGGTTTATTGTCTAAAATGTTCACACATACCTCCCTTCATAAAAACCTAATTACATCCAGCCCAGATAAAATATCGAATTTATCACAATTTATGTAAGATGAAACCTATATTTAGATGTCTCTCATTAAAGATTATCAAATAATTACAAATGGAAAATACTTAAAAGTAAAATTTCAGTAAGTACAACAGCTCATAATTATTCATAACCTTCACGAATATTAAAAACATTGACGAAATGCTGTAATTGATTGCTCAAACTCCAATGAAAGGTTTCGTCCAACATCTCAAGCGTATAGGTCATTTCATTTCACGGAAAGAAAAGTTGAGAGTTGAGAATAAAGTTGACATGGACATGAATCGACCTGATCAATAAACACACAGACACGCTGAGATCAAAGGGAAGTAAACACCCAGAATATCCGATGAATACATAAATGAACAAAGCAATATGCGGCAGTGTGTCAGCTTTGCTTATAATCATTTCGAAATTATCCGGTTTGAATACGTCAGGCGTTCACACAACTTAATAACCTCAGATGCAAGATCAAATTTGCTACGACCTGCTACATTCTCGGAAGGAGCCTGTGGCACATCCAGGTGAGAATACTTTAAGCAAATGTTATCAATAGCTTGAGAAATGTTTCGCTTAAACTAACAGCTTTATTACTTGATAACATATTTCATTATAACCCGTTCCAAAAAAGCCATTCAAAAAAGATACTTCTCCATCTGATCACCCTGAATAAACATCCGCGTCATTAAATCTGTAAATTTATGAAAATGAAATACGCTTGACAAAAAATGCAATCCTGAACAACACATTAAGATCAATACAAACAGAAAACAGTGTCAATCAATCAAGGTTTGATTTCAAAGAGAAAGCTAAATCTATTGAATTTCCAGTTGAATTTTCATTAAATAAAACCAACATTCCAAAAGAGCATAATCTTCAGTTTCAAGGACTAACAGCTAATACAGATTCCGGTTTCCTCAGAAGCAGACCCTTCCCTCTCTATGCCATGCCAGAGGCTAGCATAGTCTTACACTGAATACACCGGGATGTTTTGGTTGAGACATAGACGCACGTGAATACTGCTTTAGGTCTCTCTCATAGCCTGAAAGGGGCTACCGTGCAAGGAGCTGCCTCATCACATGAACAGTTCCTCCAAGATCTGTCAGCTCACTTCAGTTAGCCGCAGCCTGTCTTTGATACATCTTGAGAACACATAACACATCGTTCCAGGTCTATTATCTACAAAGTATCTATATTTTTTAATTTGCAAATAAAAAGTAAGAATTGAGAAAATTCACAATTCTATGAATGCATTTGATTGTAATCATCATTTGCATTGCGTAAGACATTGCGGTGACATATGTCTTCAACCAGGAGACAGAATACCTTTGTAAGATCCCATTTCAATTCTTTCCTGCAAACTTCTTTCTATTTTAAGTATAATGAATGAATAAATATCATCTTACGCCACTTCAGATATTTCAGGTTTAACTTAAAAAATTTAATGTTTCAAATTAGATTTAAACAAGGCTCCACTGAGTTGACAATTTTTCTAAAATAGATTTTCAGTGAACAAAATGAAAATCTGAACATAAAAGATCAACTTTGAAATATTTATTAAAACCTAAAAATAATCTCAAGCAAGTATAGATTCAAATAGATATAGAACTAATGAAAAAACCTTCAAAGTAGGAAGAGTCTAAACAATAAACTCCCACCTTCTGAAGACAAGAGAAAGATTATTAAGGTAACGTTAAATAAGCATAGGTTTTAAGTGGTGGGAGTACCATTGTACAAAATGTATCAATGATTTTTTTAAGAGATCTGATCAAAGGTCTCACAATAACCTTATTGTATTCATTATAAGACTGTTCAAAGGACAGGTCGCATATTTCAACAGATATGTACCAATACATTTTCAAATATGTAAGGTTACCATGGTATTAACATGGAATTGTGTGTGAAAATAAAACTGAAAAACAGCCTTACAACATTTTTCTTATTCCTGTACATTTCTCAGAATGCCTTCAAATTTACATTGCGAAGAGTTAGAAATCTCATGATGGTTTGGAAAAGAGTTAAAAATCTCATGATGGTTTGAAAATGAACTCAAATTATATAACAGTTGTTTTATTGATGTTTCTGCTGTTAGTGGCATTGAACAGTGATTTCTAATGAGCTTAACAAGAGCTGTAATATTTCTTTTTGTCGGTCCGGAGACAAGCATATATGTTTTGGATGTTTAACCGAGTTACCTGCAGATTTAACTGTGCTAAATTGGATTTTAAACAGAATGCACAGTGTAAAGTTTTAAATTATAAATTAACCGAATTAATCATGCAGGAAATTACATCGAGTATAAAGTATGGTGCTCACAAACAAAGTACAAAAACCAGACTGAGTCTGGGATTTAAACTCTTATTTGCAGGGGCAGTGGGGTAGCTTGGTGGTTAAACTGTTCGCTCATCACGCCTAAGACCCAGTTTTGATTCCCTACATAGGTACAATATGTGAAGCCCATTTCTGGTGTACCCCGCTGTGATACTGCTGAAATAGTGCTAAAAGTTGCTTAAAACTAAACTCACTCTCATTATGAAGTCTTGATTTCTAAAGGGTCAAAACTTTGTAAAGCAGAGCATCCACAACACATATTGTGAACATCAGGTGTCATTAACATTGACGAAGTGGAATGGCATTGGTGTCTACCTGTACAAACGGTTGAGATAGGAAAGGATATTGAAATGTCTGCAAAGAATGTCTCTTGGTTTGTGGAATATGATGGTTGGAATGACTCTAGTGGTGTTTTCATGTTATTAGATGAAGGGTTATTTCTATACAAATAGTTAGTGGCTAAGATAGAACAGCGTTTGACCATCAGGGCACCAGGCGCCTCTGTCTTCATCAAGTGACCTTGGTTACCATTGCTTATATCACAGCTTGTTAACTTCATATGGAAAGGATCAAATGTCAAAATTATTCTGTATAAAGTGCACAGTTCACAGCTGAAGTGGAGCAATGTTGGAGACAGTTGGTGGATGGGTGTAGGTGAGAGCTTCTAGAACTTCCACTCTGCCCAATCCAAAACTCTGGAGCACATATATCCTCACACAAGTGACTGTTCGTCCATCAGTGAATGGGTACCCGAAAGGATATAATTGTAATGTGACTGTTAAGCTTCTAGTGCCTCAGTAGCATTTTGGATTGTATACTTCCTAGGGAGTTGAGAAAGAAATCCGAGTACTGAGTAACTGATTGGGTAATTAATACAGCTAGCTGAGCATGCTTTAAATGGATTCTCTGCCCACTGATAAGGATTTTTTGTGTTTCATATGGATTTTGTGGCCCCTTTTGTACGTCCCCTTATATGGATTGTGCCCCCCTTATATGAATTGTGTGCCACCTGATATCTATCTTGTGCCCTCTTATACGGATTGTGTTTTTTATATGGATTTTGTGTCCCCTTTCTGATGGCCCCATATATGGATTTTGTGCCCCCTCATATGGATTCTGTTTCTTTTATGGATTTTGTGCCCCCTTATAAGGATTTTGTGCTCCCATATACAGATTTTGTGGCCTCTTGTATAGATTCTGTATCTCCTTGTAAGGAATCTGTTCTCCATCCTATGGAATATGTGAATCCTTGTATGGAATTCGGAATCTATGCAGCATCATATGGAATTCACGCCCCCTTTATACGAGCGAACAAGAACTAGATTTTGTCTTCATCTCTGCTCACACTCCAAGCTCCTGACATTTTTCTATGAAAGAATGCTACATATGATGGCATTAATAAGTTTTTGAGCTCTTTCTTTATTAACTATGCAAGCCACATTCCATTCTAAACCCCCTCAAGTATTGACATTTAAACAAGACCCCATTCAGCATCAGTCTAGAAGGTACATCCACCTTTA